GAAATCCAAAAGCCTTCTGGCCCCAAAGTTGAAGACCTGTAATATATGAGCTTTATGTGTTCGTTACGGAAATATCAGGGAATAAAGAAAAGGACAAAACACATAAATCTAAATCCAAATCCTATCCACCACGATGATTTCAGTATAGTTCCTTCCACATCTTTCCTGTATTGATTATACATGTTGAAGAAAGTTCAATGATACTGTTTCATAAAATACTTTTTATCAACAGCGTTCCAAGGACCTGTTTCCTTGTCTATAGAATGCTTTTCATGCTATTTTAATAGCTGCACTATATTCTATCACAGAGATGTGTCAGAGTTCGCTTAACCGTCTTGATCTTTTACTTCTTCCTCAAAGCGGCCCCTGAAGAGGGTTCTCCAAAATCTCCAGGGTTCTGTGCACCAGTTTGAAAACCACCAATCTGGCTTAGGATCCTTTTCCAGTGAAGGAACTGAGTCTCCTGATGGGTAGCTGCCTTCCCTGGGGCCACTCAAACCTCCCGGGCTACTTTGATTTAGAACACACATCTCCAGAGATTTGTCTCTGTCCTCTCTCCACTGTATAACGCCAGCTAAACACAATTCTTCTTTGCTCTTTCTGAAATCTTTTTTTTTTAACCTTTTATTTTGAAATAATTACAGATTTTACAGAAAGTTGCAAATAGTACAGGGAGGTCTTGTGTGCCCTTCAAGCAGTTTTCCCCATTGGTTATTTACATGGGGAAATTGACAATGATAGAAAGCTTGTATATGGTTCTGTGTCATTTTATCACATGTATAGATTCACATCTCCAGCACCATAGTCAAGCTATAGAACTGTTCTGTCACCATGAAGATTTTCCTCATGTTACTCCCTCATAGGCACACACATACACCACCACCATGACCATTCCCAATGCCTAACAACCAGTAATTTCTTCTCCATCTCTATAATTTTTGTCATTTAGAGAATGTTGTCTAACTGGAATCATATACTGCATGACTTTTTCAGATTGTTTTTTTTTTTTTTTTCACTTAATCACCTTGAGATCTATCCAGGTTGTTGTGTTTATCAATAGTTATTGCTTTTAGTGCTGAGTGGTATTCTCAGGTATGAATATACCATAAGCAGGATATTTTGGTTGTTTCCAGTTCTGGGCTATTACGAATGAAACTGCTATGATTGATGTATAGATTTTTTAGGGGTGAACATAAGTTCCATTCTCTGGGATAAATAGCATGAGTGTGATTGCTGGGTCCTAAGGACAGTGTATATTTAGTTTTTTTTTAAAAAGCTGCCAAACGGGCTCCTGGGTGGCTCAGTCGGTTAAGCATCTGACTTTGGCTCAGGTCATGATCTTGTGGCTTGTGGGTTTGAGCCCCGTGTCAGGCTCTGTGCTGGCAGCTCAGAGCCTGGAGCCCGTTTCAGATTCTGTCTCCCTCTCCCTCTGCCTCTCCCAATCTCATGCTCTGTCTCAGTGTCCCAAAAATAAGTAAACATTAAAAACAAATATTTTTTTTAAAAACTGCCAAACAGTTTTCCAGAGTGTACCATTTTACATTTCCACTGGCAATACATGACACATCCAGTCTGTCCACATTTTTGCCAGTGTTTGGAATTGTCACTATTTATTATTTGTCATTGTTCTGATAGGTATATACTGATATTTCATGGTGGTTTTAATTTGTATTTCCCTAATGGCTAATAATGTTGAACGTCTCTTCCTGTGCTTAGTGGCCATCTGTACATCTTTTTAGGTAAAATGTCGTATGGCTTTGGCCCATTTTTCCAGTTGGATTGCTTGATATTTTGTTGAAGTTTGAAAACTTGATAAATTCTAGGTATGAGTCCTTTATCAGATACGTGACTTGCGTATATTTTCTTCCAGTCTTGAGCTTGTCTTTTTATCCTTTTTTCTAGAATCTTTTGCACAGCAAATTTTTGAATTAATTTTTTTTTATTTCTCTTGTGGATAGCAATTTATGTGTCTTATTATAGGAACTCTTCACCAAACCCTCGGTTCTGAAAATGCTCTACTATGTTTCTGCTCAAAATTTTATAGTTTTACATTTGAAATTTATCCCTGATCCATTTGGAGTTAATTTTTGTCAAGGGTGTGAGGGTTGTTAGGTCTTTGTTCCATTTTTGGCCTGTGGATGTCCGTTTGCTCTAGCACCATTTGCTGAGAAGGTGATCTTTCCTCTACTGAAATGCTTTCCACTTGTGTCAAAAATCAGTTGGCCTGACTTGTGTTGGTCTGTTTCTGGGTTCTCTATTTTCTTGCATTCACCTGTTTGTCTGTCTTTCCCCCAGCACCACAATCTTGATTACTGTAGCTGTATGGTAAGTCTTGAAATTAACTAGAGTGGTTTCTCCTACTTTATTTTTCTATTCATTATACCTCTGCTGATAAGACCCTGGCTGGGAGGAGAGGAGTGCCTGGTTACTGCTCCCCACATGACCTCAACGAGGGGGTGGCCTCATTGCCAATGGCAATCAGGAAAGTTCCCATTAGATCTCCTCTGACATCACCCAGTGAGGTTAACAAAGGGTGTCTTATTACCACAGGGTGGGTCTGGCAGTTCAGACTCCGCACTTGGCCTTCTCTGACACGACGACACTGGAGGGTGTCGCTTTGGTGCACGTGGGGGAGGGTAGAAGACTGGGCTCTCCACTTGGGATTTGCTGACATGGGTGGGCATAGAATCACAGTTTTTTCTGTGGTGTTTGGCTGGATTAGAGTGATTACTATCTGAAAGTCTTCTTTCTTACTAGGCTGCCTCTTTCCTGATGCCTTGGCTAGAGAGAGCAGGCTGTATTGGGGATTTTTTTCTATCTGCCTATCTTGCTGGCTTCTGCAGCACCATGCCTAGAACATAACAGGCAAAAGAAACCCCAGAGAACTTGCCTCTGTCATTCCTCACACCCTGAGGTTCCTAGAAGGTCTGTCTTCTCTCTACCTTTCAGAGTCTTCTAATATTTCTTGTACATATAATGTTCTGGGTTTTCAGTTTTAGTTATTGGGAAGAAAAAGTGTTTCCACTCCATCTTTCCAGAAGCAGAATCAAAGTAATTTTTCAAAAATGTCAATCAGTTGGGGCGCCTGGGTAGCTGCATTGGTTAAATGGCTGACTTGATTTCGGCCGAGGTCACGATTTTACGGTTCATGAGTTCGAGCCCACATTGGGCTGTATGCTCGCATACAGATCCTCTGTCTCCCTCTCTCTGCCCCTCCCACGTGCATGCACATGCGCTGTCTCTCTCTTGCACTCTCTCTCTCAAAAAGAAATAAATGTTAAAAAAAAAAATTTTTTTTTTAATGTGAATCAGTTAAGTAATGTCATTTCTCTGCTTCACAATTTCCAAGGGCTTCCTGGTATGATTATAAAAAATATATAAATCATAATCAAAATATATAAAATCAAAATTTCCTAATCATAATCAAAATATATAAAATCAAAATTTCCTAAAAAAAGCGAAAGAACAAAATCCAAATTTCCTATCGGCCCATCAGAACTTCCGTGGCTCCCTGTTTCCACTCTGATGTGCTTTATACTCCCTCTCCCCACCCCTCTCATGCCCCAGCCACATTGGCCTCCTTTCTGTTTCTTGAACGTGTTGCGCCTTCTTGGACTATGAAACAATATCACGCATAGTTGTAAACAGGGACTCTGGTGTTAGATGACCCGTCCTGAGTGACTGTGTGATCTTGGGCCACTTTCTTGGCCTTTTTGCGCCTCTATTTCCTCATATGTGACTTGAGAATAAGAATACTGTCCGCCTCCTAGGGTTATTGAAACGATTAAATGGATTGGCCCATGTGATGTAATTTGAAGAACTCTAAAGTGCAGGAACGATACCCAGCGCAGAGGACGCATTCAATAGATAAATCAGCCGTGGGGATGAAGTTACTTACACCTCCCTGCTCTTGAATGGCTGTTTCTGTTGCCTAGAATACCTCCTGCCACCCCCCCCCCCGCCTCCCACCCCCCACAACCCCACTTTTTTTTGCAAGACTGACTCATTTAAATCTTCCACGCCTCAGCCTAAATGGCCTTATCTGCTTACGTAGTCTCTCTTCCTTTCTCTAAAGCCTATCTTTCTATAATAGCACTTTTTATAATCTGTGATATCTGGCTAACTTATTACTCGTTTACTGTTTGTCTCTTGCCCCGTGGACAAGAAGCTTCGTGAGGGCAAGCACTCTTGTCTCTTACTCACTGCCCTACCCCCGCCCCGCCCCCCCCAGCCCCCCCCCCCCCCACCCCCCCACCAGATGTGGCAAAATAGTAGACTCTTAATAAAGATTTTTTGATGGGGCTCCTGGGTGGCGCAGTCGGTTAAGCGTCCGACTTCAGCCAGGTCACGATCTCGCGGTCCGTGAGTTCAGCCCCGCGTCGGGCTCTGGGCTGATGGCTCAGAGCCTGGAGCCTGTTTCTGATTCTGTGTCTCCCTCTCTCTCTGCCCCTCGCCCGTTCATGCTCTGTCTCTCTCTGTCCCAAAAATAAATAAATGTTGAAAAAAAAATTAAAAAAAAAAGATTTTTTGAATGGATGAAAGAATTCAAGTCATTTATGGTTACACACCTATTACACATAATGCTGCAATAGACATTATTGTGGTTAAATTTCCATATACAACTTCCACATTTTTTCGTAGGATGAACTTCCTAGAGTGGGGTTGCTGGGTCAAAGGATATACACATGGCCTTTCAGGCAGATTGTATTAATTTACTGTCCTGCCAGTGTCCTGTGAGTGTGTTGTCCTTCTGCATTTTCCACTCAGGACTTTAGGAGGGAAAAAAAGAAGCAAACCTTGAAATGCATTCTCCCTCCTCTCCTTCTCCATTCAAAATAATTAATATTCTGTTATACTTTGCAGATGAGGATACTGGGAACCTGGGGTTAAATAAGCTTCCCCAGGGTCAATGGCAGAGCTGGGATCGTGGCTCGGGTCGTTTGGTTGTAAACTCTGGTCTTAACCATCGAGGTGTGCTTTTTGTCTATATTTTTCCTCAGTGATTCCTGGGCACCGGGACATTTGAGGACGTCTGCACCACCCACTGACTGGGGGACCCAGCAAACCCCAGGGGGGCTGAAGAGCAGAATGAGAGGTAGGCAGCGGAAGGGACATGAGGAAGGAGGCACTAGTCGAGGCAGGGGCTCCTCTTGCCTCGAGTTCGTCTGGCAAGAGAGACGGAATCAGTGTCGGGCATTCTCTTTGCAGTTGCCAGTTCGAATCCTTCTGCTCTGCGCTGTGGGTCCTGAGTTCAGCCTTCAGAAGTCTGACCAGGTGAGGCTGGACTCGAGTGATTCCGCCACGTTGGGGTGGGCGGCTCTGGCCAACCTCTGTGTCTGAAGCAACCCGAGCATTGCTTTTCCTACAGGCCTCGTCACAGGCCACCTGCTCCCCCCAGGGGCCCTGGCCTCCGCTCCCCCAGGTTCAAGCTGCCCCTTCTCAGCTGATCTTCCCAAACTGCCTGCATTCACCCTGCTGCCTCCCAAGGTAAAGTTAGATTGTCCACCCTGTGTTCTCAAAAGCAATAGTTCTAATTTGATGACGCACAAGCATCACCTGAGGTGCTTACTAAAAAGACCTCAGACAACCTGGGCCATTTGAATATTGACGGGATATTTGATTACTGTTGAATTACTGTTGAATTTTAAGTGTGACCATGGTATTACATATGTGTGTATTATATATGTAATATATATGAATATGTATCTTTTAGGTTACATATGTATTATATATATATTATATAATTATATAATATATAATATATTATAATATATAATATAATATATGTATATGAAAATGTATCTTTTAGGTTACA